AGTTTTCCTTACCAGCTGTGCAGCCTGGAACAAGTAACTTGCTCTCTCTGAACCTGTGGGTTCTTCATAGAAATCGAGGCTAAGACTGCCTTTTATAAAGGAGTGTTTGAGGATTAAATGAGATAAAAAAAAAAAACAACAAAAAACAGAGCTCCTACCAGAGTATAGGCTACTAAATATTGGTTTATTTCTAGCATTCTAGAACTTCCACAGTCCTGAGGTTTTTATTCTCTCTTAAAACGTGGCCCTTGCATGCAGAGGTGAAGCAGGTGACCCTGTTCCTAGTTCCATCACTGCGGTGTGGCCTTTGGGGAGTCACTTAATCTCTCCTCTGATTTTTTTCCAAGAATAAAATAAACGCAAAAATAAAATCTGTCTCGGGGCTTTGAACTTCTCAGAGACTGGTTCTGTGGACAGGCAGGCTCCTGCCTCTTCTTTGAACTTCTCAGAGACTGGTTCTGTGGACAGGCAGGCTCCTGCCTCTGTTCTGCTAGTTACTTCTGGCCCCATCTGCCCTGGAAGAGCTCACAGAAGGCATTGTGTGCTGTTCCCAAGGGCTGGTACACCGCTCTTCCCGTGGCCTTGACCATCTGAGTCACCACATCACTGCCACTTACAAGGCAAGCCCAGGCCTTCCGCTCGGGAGGTTGTCATGGGCTTTTCTGGCTGGGCCCCCCCATGTTGCCTTTGCCTGGGATCTCTCCCTCCTACAGCGCCTAGAAATAACTGCACCCTGGGGACCACTAGACTGAGACAGCTCTCTGGCAAGAAGTGTTTCTTTTCTACTGAAGTTCTAAAAGAGTCTAACACCTCCCCCTTCAAGAGCCCACTTCAACCCTGGAGTTTCGTAGAGGCAAGAAAGCCGAGGCCTCCTTAGATAACTCACAGTCTGATGGCCAGTGGCATGACCCATTGCATTCCAGCCTCTGCATGGGGCTCGCTTTGCACGGAATCCTGGAGATCATCTACATACAACAGGCACAGTTATTAGTCCATTTCACAGATTCAGAAACAGCGGCTCCAGGCAGTTCAGGATTCCCTAGCTAATGAGCAGAGAGGTTGGAGGGCAGGAAAGCCAGGTTCTGAGTCAACTTCTTCAGATCCAGACTCTTGAACAACTTTCCAAGGAGTTCTGATGCAAAGTCAAATTTGAGGCCCCTGCCTTGAGCCTCCCTACAGCCAGAGGGCAGCCACCGCCAGACTGGCATTACCCTAACCTGAGGCCCCATGAGTGGGTCCCAGATGGAGCCCAGGAAACCCATGCTCTGGTAGATTTCTTGGTAGAACATACCCAAAACCCTCCAAACAAATGCAATAACAAAAGCCAACTTTGAGAACCACTTTGCCATTGCCAGAGCAGGCCCAGGACTTTCAGGGGTAAAAGCAAGAGAGTTCTGAGCAAATCAGGTGCTGTCTGGATAATGGGGGACATCTACCGGACAATGTGGAGGACACTCAGCTATTCCTGCAAAGGCTTCTGATTAATGTTCCTACGAGGAGATCTCGCAGGTCTGCACAAATAGACTTTTCTCTCTCCTTTCTTCCTTTCTCTATTCGCAGCACATGTGTGGAAGCCAGAACTCCAAAGGATCAGTGGTCCTTCAATAGATCTCCTGCCAGATCCAAGGTCCTAATTATGAGCCCCTGCCACAGCAGCTCTCCATCTCCCATGCCTGCCAGCCTCTCCCTGCTGCCAGGCCTATCCTAGGTCTCCCAGGGAAGTCTCTTGCTCCTTTCCCAGGACTTTCTCTCCACCCCCTTCCTGTCTGGTAGACGAAGACATGATCACAAACCCAAACCAGAACGATCCATCTAAGATATAGGCCTCCCATTACAGACCTCCTCAACCAGCAATTACAAGCAGGGAACTAACCATGTAGAAGGCAAGGCTGAGGCTGTTTCCAGATAATGAAACACTTCTGGACTTGAATGAGCAGGGGTGTACTTCATCCCTGCTGGGATTGAATATCTCGTCCCCAACTGCACCTTTCAAGGCCCCAAGTCTAGCCAGCATCATGGGCTGCTTTTGAACAGAAGGCTGTTCACAGAACGATTAGCAAGGATGGGTACCTGCCCATCATTTGCTCACGTTTGAGATTTGTCAAGTCAACCCTGTTGGGTGGCTGGAATCTGGGAACCTAGTTTTTAAAATAACCTCACTTCTTCCATGACTGATCTAAAGACAAATACGAGACCCAAGTTGGTCCAATGAAAGTCAGCCCTGGGCTTTTTCTTGCAGTGGGAGAGGGGGCTCTATTGGTGGCACACGGTCCTGGACCCTGGGGCCACAGGATTTGCATCAATATGAGAGAAAAGCAACCAGGAGAAAGCAGAAGAGACAGTCAGAGAAAGATTGAAACAAAGACAGAGGGAAAATATCCCAACCCAAACCATCTTCACTTGTAGATCTAGTAGATCTACTACTAGGAAATCCTGACTCATGAGCCAAAAAAACTTACATTCCCCTCCCCTCTCTGTTACTCATAACTAAAAAGTCCTGTAACACTGTCCAACCACACCTCCCCCAGCAATATTCCGTCTCCCCACAAGGTCACATGTTTTAGCCGGTTCCATATCTGTGGGCCCTAGCCTGGCTTCAGGCTTCATGGGTACTCCGGGAGATGAACAGCCTCAGGAGACCCCCCACATTCCCTCTCATCTGGCAGTTCAAACCCAATGCACTCCCTATATTGTCTCTGAACCAGACCACACAAGAGCATGCCCTTCTTTGCTTACCATCTGGGGCTTTAGCACTATCCATTTAAGTTTCCTAAAGCCCAGGTTCTGCTCCTGCAGTCTCATGAAGAACTCGAACACTGAAGCTACAGTGGAGACATCAAATGTTCCCCCACAGATCCACTGGGTTGAAGGCCTGGCTCCCAGCCTGCCATACTGTAGGGTGGAATTTTTAAGGAGTAGGGCCTCATGGAAGGAAGGAAGGTCATTGGTAATCTGTCCTCATTTCTTGGCTTCCTTGCTGCCATGAGGTGAATAGGTCTCCTTTACCATGTGCTCCTGCCATGATGTACTGCTCTGCCACAGGCCCAAGACAGAAGGGCTAAGTAACTGTGAACTGAAGCCTCAGAAACAGGGAGCCAAAAATCAGCCTTTTCCCTTATTAAGTTGATAATCTCAGGAATTCTGTTACAGAAAACTAACACAAAGCCTGTGACAAAACAAGAATGAATACACTCCTTTTGATTCTTTTTTCAAACCCTCAGTACGGTGCTACTATGGCCTACTACAGGCCACCATTTGCTTCTCTTCCCTTCTAACAAAAAGAGAAGGGAAGAGTAGTCCTTCTACAAAAGGCTACAATGTAAAAACATTGACTTGCTTTCCTTGTATTTATTTTTCTGGTCACCTTCTATCTATATCACTGGTTTTTCATTCATAAAACTAAGACAACCCCCTTATTGAGCACAGTAAACCCCAACATGGGTTCCACAGACTCACACCTCCAAGCCTCTGTCCATGCTCTTCCCTCTACCTAGATGTACATTTCCCATAACCTCCTTAACCAAGCCCATTATTTCTTAAAATCCAAGGCCAATGTTACAGCCACTGGGGCTGTCTTTTGCCCTAATGATTTCAGAGTTTCTGTGTTCTTTCTGTGGTTTGCTGACAGGATGGCCTTCTCTGTGGGCCTGAGTGGTCCCAGAACCAAAACAGGCCTTTACCCTTCTGTGAGGCACAGAAGCTCAGTCAGAGCAAGAGGAATAGGGCGCCCTAACTGAGGGATGTGGATCTATTACATACCAGCACCCAGATGGTGAGCTGGGGACCCAGAGAGTGGGAGAGAGGGCTTCCCAGGAAGGGAAGACTGTAAACTCCCAGGACAGGGAAATCACTGAGGCCATGCCCTGGAGCACAGGTCCTGGGACTCCAGTGAACATACTGAAAAAGAAGGCTCCCACAGAGGCCTGGGGCAGAGGGCCACAGAATCCTTGGTTCTCCACATGACTCTGCATTCAAATCACCTCAGAGCTTATCCTAACAATCCCTGAGCCCACCTCAAAGACTCTGCCTCTATCTGTGTGGGTTTGAAGTAGGCCAGGAACTCTGTACTTTAAAGCCCAGGATTCAGGCAATGCTGAGACAGGTCATTTGAGGGCCACACTTTGAGAAGCCCAGTTCCACACATTGTCAGGAAAGGGCAGAGACTGGTAAGGTCCTGACAGATAAAAGGCAGAAATTCACACCAACTGCAAAGCTGTCCTAGAACATCAGCAATCACCGACAAAGTACCTAGAGTCACAGAAAGCAAGCCTCATCAAGGTTATTTAAAATATGCCCCCAAATAATTCAGTTGTGACGTGTTTAATGAGGTAGATAGAGACATGATCACGGGCCTCTGTAGACTGAAACTGGAGTGATCCATCTAAAACACAGAACCTCCTTTGAGAGGCCTCATAACCAGCAATTGTAAGTAGGAACTCAACAGTGCAGAGGTCAGAACTGAGGCCATTTCTGGCTAAAGAGCTATTCCTTTGTCTGAGTGACCAGACAATCAAATTGTTCCAAGATGTGGTCACCCCGAAGTTTAAGCACAATTAGGAGCAAATGACTGAAAGTGTCACCTTTGGCTCTACCCTGTCCTCTCAAAAACGAATTTAAAAACAAGAATGGCATAGTTAGGTGGGGGAAGTATCTAAGACAGTACCCAGCAGCGGCCCCCTATAAAGATCTGGCCTTCAGAACAATCCAGGCTCGGTCACTTATCAAACAGAGATTGACTTTTATCCGATTAACCGATGGGGAAACATCCTTCTCCATCTCGCAGGAGCATTCTGGAGGAACAGCGTTTTGCAGACTGCAGGGAAAAGTTGGGCCTTGGCTTGCCTCCCGCTCGGCCAGTGGAAAATTACAAAGGAGGCAGGGCTGCCCTGAGCCGTGTTCACCCACCCTTCCTGGGCCCAGGAAAATATACAGAATATCCCAGAAAAAAAAGAAAGAAAGAAAGAAAAAATGTAAAAAGCACCAGCTGAGCCTTTACCTACCTGGTGCAGAGAGGAGTCTGGGAGGCGGTGGGGGCGGGGGCGGTGGGGGCAGCGGGGGCGGGGGCCGGCACTGGCAGATGTGCTGGCAGCTGTCAGTCACCTTGACGCAGGACCTCTGGGGCTCACCGTGTGTCACCTGCAGACACGGGCACAAGCAAGACACCATAAGGCAACTGGAGGCTGAAAGGGGCCCATCTGGTCCCTGCCAGGCTGGAACTTGGAACTCTTCCCCAAGTCCAAGGCAGATAGAATAGACCCCAAAAAAGTCCAAGAGGCTAGAAGCCTGGCCTGGCAGGATGGAGACCAAAGTTTTATTCCCAGTTCTGCCAGGGACTTGTGATGGGACCTTGAGCAGTCAACCTGGATATCTGAGAGATGAACTAGACCTTGAGTACTACTCTGAAGAACTTCCCCATGGTACAGATCACTCCGTCAGAAGTGGCTGCCGAAGACAGTGGCACTGTGCTAACATGAGTCCTCAGTCACCTAAGCACAACCAGCTTTCCATCTTAAGGTCAAGCCTCTGCCATCTCTCCAGCCACAGCTCCCATGGCCTTTCGGTATCTACTCTGGGGTGAGGCCACCCCATCTTAGGAAGAAACTTACCTGGCCAGGCTTCTGCCCAACAAACCATTTGTAACTCTACATCGCCCTCCCTCCCAAGATCTCCTAAATGATTCCCTACTACTCAGGCTTCAGACCCTGTGCCATGTGACCCCCGACAGCCTCTTACCTCTGCTTTCTCCCCTGTGCTCCCATCCTCTGCCCTACTCTCAGCCTCCTGCCGGCCCCTGGTCTTTGCACATGCTGTAACTCAGGCTGCAGTGTTTTCCCACTACTGCCTGCTTCTTTACATACGACTCAGCCCGGCTGTCAAGCTCAGAGAAGCCTCTCACCTTCTTGACCAGGATGAGTCGCCTCATAGGCTCCCTGGTACCAGGTTCCCTCTCTATGCGACTGCAGGCTCAGGGAAGGCAGGGCCAAGCTTTGAACTCCCTCTTGTTATTATAAACCAGCACCCAAGGAAAGCCTAGTATTCTGGAGAATGGATGGATGGATGGATGGATGGATGGATGGATGACTATCAAAGACTGAACCAAACTCATGCCTTCTGCATCTTGGCCCAGTGACTCGCAGCACAAGGCATCAGTTAGGAGTTCCCAACCCTGGAACCTCCATCCCCACCCAAGCAGCTTGGACAAATTCCCCTACCTGAGTTAGACTTTCACAAAGGCTGGAGGTACCACTGTGGCTTCCAGGTTAAATGGAGGCAGAGCCCATGGATGCCTCTCTCCTTTGTGATGGACTACCACTATACACAGAGGACCATAAAGTCAAGAGTCCAGGGTTTTGTGCCAGTTGCAGGTTGCAGGAAACAAGCTGACTCAAAGGCCAGGAGGGAAGAGCTGATGGCCCTTCAGCAATGGGCCTGGCTAGTCACCAGAATGAGTGACAGAACCCAATGTCCCTACATGCTGATATCCTCAGCCTGTCCCTTGCAGGCAGAGAGACTGGGTACGCCTACTGTACTTGGGGGAGATGAGCCACCTGGGTGGCAATGGTAGGTAGGCTGATTTACAGCCTCACCCGCATATCTAAGAGGCCAGCAATCTCCCACCTGGCACCTTTTAGTGTTTTTAAAGGACCATTGATTGCCTTTCTGCCTTGCCTCCCACTGGAAAGAGCACATCCTCCAACAGCGAGCCTTTTTGCTCAATTATGGTACCAAGATGATTAGCTCCTTACCCCTGAGGGGGGTTGAGTTCCTACTGTCAGGCCTGCCCCCCCACCCCCATCACCACCTTCCAAGACCCTGAGGTCACTGGAGAGCTGCATGCTTCCAAGGGCTGGCCTCTCAGCTGCTTCCCACCCCAGCTACCACGTGTTTGAGCTTTGAGCTATGCCACGGCCAAAGCAAGGGCTTTCCCAGGCTCCAAGGGACCCTCTATGCAATAGTTCAAACTTGAACTCTTATGTGTTTGTGTAACCTGGGCCAACACAATGACCCATTTCTGGGAGCAGAAGGACACAGATGTATAAGGGTGTTTAATAGGATGAAATGACAGGAAGGAAGATTGGGGCTGAGTTTTAGGGCTGAGGGAGAAGGATGTGAGGGAACACACTGCATTCTTAAACACCGATGGCTTCCGGTCTTTGGTGTACTGAGATGGAACCAGCTGTCCTTATAGAACAAAACAAATCTAGGCTGGCCGTCCTTCTGTCTGAGGGCTGGGTCCGGTCCAACTCAAGGGGCCCCTCTTGGAGTTTCCCAATTGTTCGATTGCAGCACAGTCTACAACTCACTCCTTTTCTACTAGCCAGCCTCTATTCATCCTTTGAAGTCCTCTCTGTCATGAGAGGGACTTGGGACTAAAACTGTCTTGACAGCCCCCAATGTGGACCCCAGCCTACCACTGCTTTTTTACCTCAACCATTTTCTTTTTGGAAATTCCCCTGCTGTCTAGACTGTGTCTCTCCACACTAAGCATGTATGCAATGGTAGGTGAGTCTGTTTCTTTCTCCTAATGGGTGACACACAAAGCCCTGCTGGGTGTCAGTCATGAGAGCACATCTTTCCATGAACATGAGGGAAAGGGGAAGATTAGCAGCCACACAACCGGTGGGAGGAAGGCTCAGCCAGTCTAAGGAATGTGACCAGAACCCAACAAAGAGGTGTGTGGGGATCTGCCCACTAGGGTAGAAACTCAGGATCAGTTCTATTACCCACCCCTGCCCACTGTGGGGTTCTGCTGGCTTGTGGTAGTAGATTTAGAGGAAGACTTGGGTGGTTGGAAAAGCTTATCTGGGCATCTGGCTTCATGGGTTTCTAACTTGGGAAGTCTTACAAGCAAAAGGAATTAAAAACAAGATGTCCTAAAAGCAAAAAGAGCCACTTGCTCGTGGCTGAACTTTAGAAAGATCAAGAGGCCCAGTTAGGCCTTTAACCTGTGACCCCCTCCCTTCCCTGCCAGAATGGAAGCTGCTATGATTACCTGCTGGGACCATTTCTTCTAATCACCATCACCTGCTTTACTACCCTCCCACAGTTCTACCAGGAACCAGAATCCTGCCAACTGTGTCTACAGAGTGGGCTGAGACATAGGGAGGTCCTACAGCCAGACACTGGGTTTTTTGTTTTTTGTTTTTTTTTTTGGGGTCCGGTCGTGGGGCCTGAACTCTGGGCCTGAGCTCTGTCCCTCAGCTCTTCAGCTCAAGGCTAGCGCTCTACCACTTGAGCCACAGCCCCACTTCCGGCTTTTCTTTTCTGCTTATGTGGTGCTGAGGAATCGAACCCAGGGCCTCAGGCATGCAAGGCAAGCGCTCTACCACTGAGCCACCTTCCCAGCCCCCAGACACTGGGTTTTGTGGTCTGGGGAACACATTGCTTCATGGCATCGATTCCCCTGCCCCATGCACCACCTCAGTTTTGGATGATCAGTGTAGCCTTCAGGTCAAACAGGTTCTGAATCCACCCACTTCTCTTGATCTCCTGTTACTGCCCACACCAGGCCCTCATCAGCTCTCACTGGGTGGAACTTGCCTCTTGTCTAGGTTTCCAGATAAAAGATAGGACGTCCGGATATATACTTCTTTTAAAAAAGACCCTGTGCCAGACACGGTAGCTCACACCTGTATAATCCTAGCTTTTCAGGAGACAGATCTGAGGACTACAGTTTGAAGCCAGCTTGGGCAGGAAAGTCCAAGAGACTATCTCTAATTAATCAACAAAAAGCTGGAAGTGAGCCAGGTGCTGGTGGCTCACGCCTGTAATCCTAGCTCCTCAGGAGGCTGATATCTGAGAATTGAGGTTCAAAGCCAGACCAGGTAAGGAAGTCTGTGAGACTCTTATCTCTAAGGAACCACCAGAAAACCAGACGTGGAGCTGAGGCTCAAACTGGTAAAGTGCTAGGCTTGAGTGAAAAAGCTTAGGGACAGCACCCAGTCCCTGAGTTCAAGATCCACAACTGACAAGAAAAATAAAAGCTGGGAGTGGGCTCAAGTGGTAGAGCACCAGCCTTGAGTAAAATAGCTAAAGATCAGTAGCCAGGCCCTGAGCTCAAGCCCTAGTACTTTGGGGGGGAAAACAAACAAACCAGCCCAGGGCTTATCTGAAATTTCAGTTTAACTGCAAGTCTTGTAATCAATCCTACTTGCACCTTACCACAACCCCTCCCCCAGTTCATCCACTGTGCTGGAGCTGGGCTGTGTCTAAAAAGCCAATTGGATCTAGTGCTGTCTCTTATTGCACACCTTTGCATCCTGATCTGCCTTCATGTCTCTGCTGCAATACCACATCTTCAACAGGCGAACATGGAAGCTATTTGCTCCCCTGAGCCCTTGCCTGCAATTCCTGGTCCAATCACCTCCCAGTGGCACCCTACCAAGAGGGCAGGGACCACTGAGCCACGTGTTCTTAACACAGAGCCTGGTATACAGGAGATGCCCAATAAATGCTGCTGACTGATCCCAGCTATGGCGACCTATGGCATTGGATCGAGGATAGCTCCTGTGGCAGTACACAGAGGCCCATCAGGCCAGATCTGAGCCTGTCTGCTGGCACTTGCTTTGGACAAGCAACCACAAAGACGATGGCTTCTGGCATCCTTTATGGAGAGAGGCCAGCACCACAGTAACTTGATGAGACACACTCCTGTCACACCTAATAAATTCGCCAGCCTGTCATCCTCTTCTCTTGCAAGAAGAAAAAAGAATCGACTGAAGTGAACTTAAAAGAACCCTAAATCACAAAAGTGCAAAATCTCAACTGTAGACTCATGAAAGTAGAAAGGGGAGAGGCTAAGGAATGCCCCCACCAGCCCTCAAGCAATTTAAAAGTCATCTGACTTCAATGATTTAACTTTCTTATCACCTTGCAGCAGCCAGAGGCTACCACTGGCTTCAAGGAAGGAGCCTGGTGCGTTGGGAATCCAGGGTCTTTGGCTTCATCAACCACTCAGTTAATCATAAGACTTGGTGTCTGTCCCATCTCCCCAATGTTCACCCCGTGGGGGAGTCTTCTAGGGAAAGAAATGCTTCAGGAAGCCCAGACAACTCTAAGCTCATTCTCTAGTTGAGAAATTCCTATGACGTGACAGATTTATTTTCTCCACTTAAAGAGAACCACATGGCCTCCTGCGTCTCCATGTTTTTCTCTGCTCTCCTACGTTTCCCTGGACTCAGCTCTTCTGCTTAAAAACCAGATCCATTCATTCCAAAACTCCTTTTCTTTTGGTTTCTCTGTCCTTATCATTTGTAAATTAATTTCTCCAGACCTCAAGCCATTGTCCATTCCATTTATCTGGAGGATTCTTTACTAATTGATTTTCATGAAAATTGATTTGTATTGAGTCAGATGATTTAAAACACACATACACACTCCCACACACGCGCGTGCACACAACACTTGCTTGTGCAAGTATTGCCTGGCTGAAGGACTAATAAAACTGAGCTGCTTTGAAGAAAGGAGGATTTGGGGCTGGGGTAGGACACGTGGCTCAAGACTGACAGGCCTCACCAGCTGCCTCTCCATCCTAGCTGTAAAGTCTTCCGGAAGAGCGAGAAGTATAAACACATCGGATTCAAAGGCAAAGTAAATCTCACATCTGAGGTTCAGCTAAAAGTTTGAACAAGAGAAACCAGTCCCAAACCACCCAAGTGTTTAGCAGTGACAAAATCCTCCATCCTGAGCGCACACAGCTGAGTCTAATAACCGCTCTTTCACACATTAAACAAAGCTGTCAATTCTGAGAGGAAAACAATTGTGCAACAGAGGTAAGCTACAGAAGAGAGAAGAAGATGGGGCCTGAGCAGGGGGTTGGGGTGCGCATTAGCTCAGAGCACCCAGTTCTCTGTGTGTGTGTGTAGTGTGGGGGGGGGGGGTGCCAAGGCTACCATCCCAATAGGACTGACCTTGTCTATGCCAGTGCAGTCCTGCCACTGGGACAGCTCATGGACCATAGCATGTTACCCCATCCCTTCTTTGATCTGTCACCCCAACTCAGGCCAACCATCCAAAGAGTTCCTAACCCCCCAAGCGCCACTAGGAGAAGATGAAACTGCAACTACTACTGAGTGGGTCCTTCAAAACCCCAAACAGAAAGCCTCCAACCACTTCCAAAATCCCAGACCATACTGTGGTCAACAGACCTGGAAGGCCCGTTTGCAGAGAGGAATCTTAGCAACAGTATTTACTTTAGTGCAGGCCCTAAGTAATCCTTAGCTCACCAAATACCTACATTAATGCCAGATGCCGGTGACTCATGCCTGTAATCCTAACTACTCAGGAGGCTGAGAGCTGAGGATCACAGGTTTGAAGCCATCTCCCAGGCAGATAAATTCAAGAAACTCCTGTCTCCAGTTAAACATCAAAAATGCCAGAAGTGGAGCTGTGGCTCAAGTGGTAGAGCACCAGCATTGCGAGAAAAAGCTAAGCAAGAGTGCCAAGTACTCAATTCAAGCCCCAATACTGGCACAAACCCAAACAAACTAAAGAATCCAACCACCAAAATCACCTACAGTTGCCCAGATAGGAGGAGAAATCAAGGCTCAGAAAGATCAAATATGAGCTGGTGCTTAAAATCCAGAGCTCTCCACTGTACCATTGACCGGGTACCTTTGGGACAATACCAGGGACCACAGCATCTAGCAAATCCTCTCTCTCTGACCAAGGAATGCTAGCAGGAGGCTGGCTGCCTGATCTCTGCCAGGAAACTGGGGGAGGAGAATGAGGGCTTCCACCTCATTCCTGATAGATGGGTGGGTCTTTACAACCCATCAGAGCTTCCCGAGCAATTGGAGCCACAGGAAACCAACTCCTGCATGGAAAGCACTTTGGAGAAGCTAACAGAAACTTTCAATGAGTGTTCTGGTTAGGAAATAAAGCACATTTTCTTTCTTTCTTTTTTAATTTTGTTTTCATAAATGTTAGCATCAAAAGGTAATGTCAAGCTGGGTGCCAGTGGCTCATGTCTGTAATTCTAGCTACTTAAGAGACTGGAGGATCGTGGTTTGAAGCTAGCCTGGGCAGAGAAGTCCATGAGACTTTTTTTTTGGGGGGGGGGGTGAAGGGCGGTCCGGTGGTGGGGCCTGAACTCTGGGCCTGAGCGCTGTCCCTCAGCTCTTCAGCTCAAGACTAGCACTCTACCACTTGAGCCACAGCGCCACTTCCGGCTTTTTTCTTTTTGCTTATGTGGTGCTGAGGAATCGAACCCAGGGCCTCAGGCATGCAAGGCAAGCACTCTACCACTGAGCCAACTTCCCAGCCCATCCACGAGACTTTTATCTCCACTTAACTACCCAAAACAGAACTGCTAAAAGTGGAGCTGTAGCTCAAGTGGTAGTGCACCAGCGTTGAGTGAAAAGCTAAGAGAGAGAGAGAGAGTACACTGGCCCTGAGTTCAAGCCCTAGTACTGGTAGAGTAATACTAATTATTATAATTATTATTAATAATAATAATGTCTAACCTCCTTTCTATGCCAAGGTCCTGGCCTGCAGGCTCTTAGGCCACAAATGAAGCCTCCTTCCAAGTTTCTCACCTTTATCTGAACCAGTGTATTTCCGGACCATACTAGTTTTTCTTTTCCTAAACTCTCCCTTGGACCAATTAGTGGGGATGGCTGTCTGTCGGGGGCCAGAGTCTAACGTGACCTTCTCCCCGCTCCCCTCCCCAGGCCCCAGCCCTCCGCAGCCTGCTCTCGCTCACCTGCATGAAGCCCCAGAGCGGGTGGAGGGCGCAGCGCAGCAGCAAGGAGGGCCAGCAGCTGCCGCGACGCAGCACCAGGTCCCGGAGGAGCATCTCGCCCGGCGGCGCCCACGGGTGGGGCGAACTGTCAGGGAAGCAAGCTCAGGTCAGGCGGACAGGCGCGGGCACCACTGCGGCCCGCGCACCGCACCGGCACGCGTCCCGGTCCGGAGCCAGCGGGTTCGCCCGCACTCTGGACACCTTAAGGCAAACCCGCAACCGTCCCCGGAGCTGGCACACCCTTGCTGAGGCTCCGTGCATTCCAGAAGTCACGATCACTCCCGGCGCACACCCCCAGAGGACTGCGTGCACACTTCGAGCCCAAGCACACCTCCGGAAACAGCCCGGCACACTTAGAGAGCCCGGTGCAGTTCCCGGAAGGCCGTACGCAACTCACTCGAAAGCCGGCGGGAACCGCTCGCGGCGCGCACACCCACGGCAACGGCCGTGCGCACCCACGGGCCCCCGTTCACACTCACCTACTCCTGCCCGCACACTCGGGGCCCTGCACGCTCACACCACGAGACCGCTCACTGCGTGCGCTCCGAGCGGTCCCTCTGGCCTCACTGCGCACCCCTCACGACACCGGCGCCTCCGTGCGCACCCCTCTCCTCTCCCCCCGCCCCCCGCCAGGCCCCAATCTCCCGCCCCAGGGCGAGGGTTCCCATGTCCGCCCGCACCCCTCCGAGGCTCCCCGCAACCTTGCCTGGAGGCAGCCCCAAGCGACGCTCGCCGCGGGGAGGGGAGGTCAGCGCTGCCCCCACCGCAGCGGCTCTGCTGGCCAGCCACCGGACGGCCCCCATTTAAAGCCAGCCGCCTCCCCAGTACCCCCGCCCTCTAGGCGGGGCCTCGGTCCTCACCCTGGCGGCTGCGCGGGCGCCTGGGGGCTTCACATGCCGAGGAGCAGCGCTGGGCACTGGAGCAAAAGTTTGCGCGCCGCTTGGGCCTCCAGGGCGGCTGCGCCGGGGACCCGGGCGCGGCGCGCTCGCCACGGGGCGCGGGGCGCGGTGGCTCCGGCTGCGCCTGGGCGCGCGCGGGGCCAGGGCGGGAGGGGCGGAACTCGGGGCCGGGCCGGGGCGGGCAGCCCAGGCCGAGGGCGGGCAAAGTCTCCTCCAAGCCACGCCGAGCCAGCCGCGCCTGCCCTCCCCGGGCGGATGGCGGAACCCCCCCCCCTCCCACCCGCCCCCCAGCACCACCCAGATCCCCGCCCTTCCCGGTGGCGCCGTGCGGCTGCGGGGGAACGCGGGGGGACCCGAGATCGCCGTGCGCCTTCCGCCGGCCCGCGGGGGACAGCGGCCCGACGCGCCGGCCCCGGGTGCCCGCTCAGGCAGCCGAGACGCGGGTGGAAGCGAAATAAATAATGCACGAAAAAGGAAAACAGACGTGAGCCGAGCCAGAGCCTCGCCCGCCTCCCGCCCCGGGCTGCGCTCCCGCCCGCGCTCCCCGCCGCCGCCGCCGCCAGCGCCGCTGCAGTGATTCCTCGTCTCCATCTAGCGAGGCTATTGTGTATCGGGCGCTTAATCATTTATTTATTCACCCTGGAGGCCGAGGACTCCCGGTTACTGGGAATCTGGCTTGCCCTTCCCCCAGCGTCTCCCGAGGCTGCCCGGAGACCGGCTTTGGCGCTGGATCTCTGCGGACGCCCCCTCTCCTCCCGCCCCCGTCCCCCGCAGGCTCTGCCCGGTGCCAGCTGGAACGGAGCAGGCCGCCCCCACACCCCCAGGCCGCGTGCCTTGATTTCCCCCTTGCAGTGTCTGCTTGGCAGCGGGATCAGCACTCCGCTGCGTCTGCGAAGGAGTTGGGACGGCCCTCAGCAGAATTTCTCCATCATTGCTTGGCCTCTATGGTTATCAACAAGTCGGTTGGTAGGAAAGGAGCTGGGGTACGACCGACGTTCTCGTCCCAATAAGCAAGCTGCTCCTACCTGGCAGACAGCCGGAGGGCTCACCTGGTGTGTGCGCATTGCAAGCGCTTTGAAAACTGTGTGGGAGAGGGGGACGCTTCCAGTCAAGGCCATTTTAGGTTGAGCAAGATAGTCAATGGCTAAGGACGCTGGGAAGAGAGTCAGACACCAAGAGTTCATTCATAAAGAGTTACTAGTGCCCTTTCTCCATCTCCATGGGCACCTCCCTGACACCCCATGTTAAATATATATGTATGCATATATGTATACGTATATAGGTATATATACATATATGTGTATATATGTATATATATATATGTGTGTGTATATGTATATATATATATATATATATATATATATATGTGTGTGTGTGTGTGTAAATAAGGCCTAAATAAGGCCTATCTCCTTTCCCCCAAGAACCTGGTGCTGAGTGTCCTGGTTCACCGCTATAATCCTAGCTACTCAGGAGACTGAGATCTGAGGGGAGAGGTTCAAAGCCAGTCTGAGCGAGAAGTCCATGATATTCTTATCTCCAATTACCCAGCAAATAGTTGGATGGAAGTGGAGCTATGGCTAAAGTGGTAGACCGCCAGTCTTGAGTGAAAAGGCCAAGGGGACAGTGTCCAGGCTATGAATTCAAACCCCAGTGCCAGTGCACACATGTACATGCACACACATGTGCTTGCTTGCACACCACACACACACAAATCTGGGGCTGGATAAGATGTGATAAAGTCAGCCATTGTGTGTTCTGTGCTTTCCACTTGTGTGAGAAAAGGGCCCGCACCTGGAGACTGCCAGGAGGGACAGGAGGTAGAGACTTCCAGGACAAAGTGACCTGAGGCTGAGGAAAATGTCAGGCGCTTTAGTAACCCCTTGTACTAAGATATGGAGATACTGTTCCTGCCTTCATTCATTCATTCCATACTAGGGCACCTACTAGGGCCCACAGCATTTGATGCCAAAAGAGTGAACTTCAGCATTAGAGAGCAGGAATGGCAAGCAAAGGATGGAGAGTGGGACTTCCTGGGAGATTCATGATTTGTACAAAGGGACTAAAGTACACAACTGGGCCCCTATTGGCCAGCTGAGGACAAATGGTGTCTTGTGTGTTTTCTATTGGGTGTTTGTTCAAATGCCTTTCCAGTCAGAGAATTTTTCTTATCCAGGACTTCAATCTTTAGATATGACAATGCCTCTGATTTTTATTCCATAGACTTTATCCCCCAAGATGACCCAAGGAACATTTCATTACCTGAATACGGGTAAAAGGATATCTGCATCCTGGAGAAGCCCAGCCACGGCTGTCTTCTGCAGGCTGAGTTTGGTGGGTCATGGCAACGTGAGAGACTAGACTTCCTCATGTCAATGGGAATTAATACAATGGCATAGGCCAAGAGGCATACTGTCACGAGAGACAAGTTGGGCAGAATGACCTTAATGGGCAGCAGATGGGTTGGCAATGAGGTGCCTTAAGCTACGGGAAGCCACGTCAGTGGCTAACAGATCCTGTGACTACAGAAAAGACTAATGGAAAGTTGACAGAGCATGGCTTGATTTGTATAGATAAATATTTTTTTAGGACCAAAATGACATCAACTACAGTAGTGGAAATTTGTTCTAAGTCCAGAGCCCATTGATGGAAGAAGTGGCTGAGCTTCCTTGAAGGACCCATACAGTGCCACTGAGGATGGTTAGGGACAACAGTAATCCAGCAAGTGATTGAAGCATCTGGAAGTTTAATCTTGGGCAGTAGGTAAGCTGCTAAGCAACTGGTCCAGAGTCTTGTACGTGCGAGCATGCATACATGCATGTGTGTCTTTGGAAGTTCTTCCTCGACTTTCAACTTTGATCTCAATTAGGAGTTCCATATGACAGCCTGACAGAGGAGGAAAAGCACCAGAGCTTCATTTGCATTTGACTGATAGTGTCCTGGTGCTAATTGTTGCATTACACCCCCATTCAAGAGCAGGACTGGTGGCCTGAGGTGCCAGGCATGTACCACCTCCTATGCAGGGTGAGTGGCTGGACTAATAGTGTAAGGAAGAAAAAAAATCAAAACCCAGGGACCTGAAGGTCAGGTAAACAGTCACTGAGGGACCCGGGGGAGTGAGCACAAAGGGTGACGGTCCAGGCCCACATGAGAACATCCACTGCCAAGGCCTCTGTCAACATCAGATGGACAGGAGGACACAGCCTGTTTCCTGGGCCACCTCAGTGCTGCCCTGCGTGATGGGCTAGCCCTTTAAAGGCTCAGCTCTGCCACCAGCTTAGAGACAACAACTGATGGGGTTGGAGCACTGTCCTAGACGTGGAAGGAGTTGGTGCAATGCCTCCAGCAGCTAGACTGCACAAGGAGAGGACGCAGGCTTGGACGTAGCAGGTCATCTTCCTGTAGAAGTTGTCCGGTTAGAGGTCCTGGCCCCTAGAAGGTGGGACTTCCAGTAATGGGCGCTGTACCTCCTCCCCTCTCTTTTCTTTTCCCTTCTCCCCTTTCTTTCCTTTCCCCTCATTTTCCTTTCCCCCTTTCTTCTCCTCTCTCTAAGTGGGGACTTACACGAAAGGTCATGTGAGTATATCGGTCCTGTATAAGCCAGTGAGAAAGCCACAGGCTGACCCTGCTAACTTCTGACGTGGGACTTCCAGCCATCAATCAATCAATCAGTTTTCCTGTTATTCAAGCCACCTAGCCTGTGGCACTTTGTTAGGTTACCTGCCTGTCTAGGATTTGCTGGGGCTTCTCTGCTTAGAGATAACCATGAGCAGGCAATGGCAGCATCCACAGGCTCCATAGTGTGAGGACCCAAGACCAGTTGACGAGCTGGCCCTGAAATAGTGGGGCAGAAGGGGGCTCGCTAACAAGTGTCCATCAGAGTCCTGTGAGTGGCCACTCAGGTCACACTATGGCTGTTTTTTTAAAGGAGGTTATAACTGACCGTGTCAAGTCTTTCATTCTTTGAGATGATGACATTTGATTCTCATGTTAGTCTAAATATTGTAGGAAGACAGGAACGGCTCTATCCATCCATTTTTGGTCACAGAGTACCTGAGTCTAGGTAATTTATAGAACAAGAGGCTCATTGTAGCTTACGGTTCTGGAAGCCCAAGAGCAGGGCCCTGATAGCTTCTCGGGCTCTGTGGAGGGCCTCGTGTAAGGACAAGTAGAACGCAAACAGATGGCAGTGTGAAGCACAAGAGAGCTGAGAAAGCTTCCTCTTGCAGAAACCACATCAGCTCCTCCTGAGCATGGAGCCCCTATGACCTCAGTACCCCTCAGAGGCCCCCCAACCTCCCAACGCCACCACAGGGAGGCAGGAGTGAGGACAAACCACGTTCACACCACCGCAAGCCTGGGTGAGCTCGATTGGACCCCGCTGGTGCATGCGCTTGTGCATGCTTCGCCTACCTCCTCCGGCTGCCCAATGGAAAAGGCAGCCATTGCTACCATTGTTCCATCTCCTGGCCCCTCCCCTGTGTCACCTGCAGCATAGCTGCCACCATGCCCACTGGGCAGGGGACACAGTGGTGGTAGAACCAGGCCCAGCAGAGCCCCAGTGTCTGAGGCTTCCGCTCCAATCCCAGGCTCACACCATAAGCCTCAGACCATAGAGCATGGAGCTGGCTTCCCTACTGGCCATCAACACAACCTAAGCTCACACCAGTGTGAACGCCCTGGGGGTGGACTGTGACCACCGTGGGGGTCTCGTGGAACAGAGACCTGCTCTGCAGCACCCCTGCATTGGTCACCTTCCTTCTCATTCTTCCCTCATGCCCTCTGACCTGGACTTGTACCCCCAAAATAAGTGATTACTTCAGCTTTCCTTGGGACCCAGGACCCGCTGGCTTGGACAGGTCCTCTGGGGTCATGAGCCTTAGAGGTTACGGCATGTGTGTGAAATGACGTGGAACACCATGGGAACTAGGACACCTGGGAGTCCGTGGGAAGTGGAGGGAGTGGGTTTTTGACCACCCAGAGGCTCTCCTTCCACCTCTGCATTTTTGTGAACATGAGCAATTCATTTCCAGCAGGGAGAGTTTCATACTGGTCCAGAATCTGGGCTCTTGTGTTGGGCTATTTG